AAAAATAATAATAATAATAATAATTTTAGTAAAAAAAGAGAAGAGAAGAATCTAACTTCAAAGACTGAAACAGAATAGGACTGAGGGTGTTAGCTACAAGTATGAAAAGTTTGGTAATAAACGGAATGAATAAAATTGGAAGAAATAAAAAATTAAATTGTGCAATGTATTCTTTTAAAAGCAAGAAAAACTTTGAATGCCTGAAATTAGAACAGGGAGAAATTGAATCAGTAACTAATCATTAAATCAAGGTCCTAAAACGAGTGGAAAAGAATGAAATCTGGAGTACAGATGGAGAGATTAATTAACGATAGAAGAGGGCCATCTCTTCTTCTGAGATCAGAGGCAGGTAAGAAGATGGATAAAGAAAGGAAGTCAATGTTGTTCCCACTAACTGAACTCAGCTTTCTACACAGATAAGGCAGTTCTGCACAGTGGACAATAACCAGCATTTCAAAAGCTACCTCTTTGTACTAATATTGTTAGTATCACCACCACAAGGGTCAGGCAGATGGACTGTTCTTTACAAGGATTTGTAGCTACTTGGTTGTTACTTAGCTACCTAATTTTTTTCTTCGCTAAGTATTTTGTGACATTTCTTTATTTTTTCCTGTTACTTATTAATGTGCTTCTTCCCAGTTGGAAGATAGCATCTTATTTAAAAAGCTGATTTCCTATTCTTGGTGAAGAATATGGGCTTGGGTGTTTATGACAGAGTGCAGCAAAACTGTGTCTTAAGTCATCTCCAGGAATTCTGAGATACAGAAATGTTGATGCTGTTAAGGCAACATAATTAAGTTATCTATTCACAATGTTTTAAAGAAAAGAGCTATTGCCTGTTTAGTAAAAATAGAAATATCTCTGTGCAAAAACAAAATTGAAACTCTGGTCCCTAAACTCAAAGCCAAGTCCCAGATAAGCACTTGTAAGTCCTGTAATCCCACACATTTTGACATTTGAGGGAAAAGTCACTGTAATCTGTACTAATTATAAGGCTATACCTGTGCAATGAGAAAATGCTCTTGCAGTTGTTATCACATACCTGTGCAATGTCTGATAATGGTCTGATTCTTTTCATTTCTACAAGGTAAAGTCCAATGGCACATCCTCCAGTGCTACTTGTTCCTAAAACATCAAATAAATACCTACTCACTAAGAAATCATTCATAAAAACACTAATGAAAGAAATAATAAAGCTAACAAATGAAAGCAACAAAGTGGAGGGCTAGGAAGTTGTTCAAAAAGGATTCAGGGCTCTACATTCAACAGTGGCCAAAAGTACATTATTTGGTTCCTACTGCTCAGAGTATATAGAAGCAATCCTGGAAATAAGAAATATCAACCTATTTATAATTACATCCACAGATAGGTAAATATAGATATATAGAGATGTAAAATATAAACTCAAGGAATAGTACGTGTAGTGATATCATTAATAGGTAATGCATAAATGGACATGGTTATAACCCTATTGGTGGTAGCAATACACATAAAGAAAAATGGATCAATTAAAAGTAAAGTGATGGTAACAGGATATTTAAAAAAGAAGGTAGAGGGCCGGCTGAGTGGCATGTTGGTTAAGAGTTGGCTTGGGATACCAGCTCTGAGGAGCAGGGCCCCGGTTCAGATCCTTCATGAGGGCCAGTGACCCTGCGCCCTCTACAGCTAAGATGGTGAGCAACAGCTCGACCTGGAGCTGGGGTGTCAAGAGTTGCCGGCAACGGCGTAGGCTGCAGTAAAGCTGCAGTGGGCTGCCGTAAGCTACTCTGAGCGGCTGGCAGCCGGCGTGAGCAGCCAGCAGCCAGCGTGAGTGGCTGTCCAGTGGCCAGCAACCAATCTGCCTCACCTGGGAACAGCGCAATGATAATACCAACATGGGCCAGTGAAGCGACATCCTCCACAACTAGACTGAAGAACAAAAGGACAGCAACTTGTCTGTTCCCCTTCTCCCAATTCCCCAGCACTGTTCCCATCCCCCCAACTCCCCAATAAAAATCTTTAAAAAAAAAAAAAAAACTGCAACCCAGCACTAACAGTTTGGCTAAGGTGATCCTATCTACCTTAAAAAGAAAAAAGAGAACTCTTCCTAGTGAAAGATGTCATCAACTTTAACCTCTATAGTGCTTTTATTATGACGATGAGCACATAATCAAAACTGAGTTGACATACAAAGTAAAGTACCATTGACCAATAATCAAGAGAAAACAAAACAGGAAGACAAAGTAGAAGGATGGCAAATTTCAACAGTAATTTGGAATCAACCAAAAGGAATCAAATAAGTACTTAGAACAGAATATCTGAAATTAAGGACTCAATTGGATGGGTATAACAACAGATTGGGCTAACAGAAAGACAGAGTAATAAAAATACTCAAAATGAACCACAGTGGTTAAAAAAAAAGAATAATGGTAATTGTTAAAAGGATTAGAAAATGTCATAGCCAAGAGGAGCCTAAAGAGACATGATGACTAAATGTCACATAGAATCTTGGTAGGATCTTGGTCCAGAAAAAAGACATTAGATGAAAAACTACTTGAATAAAATACAGATTTTAGTTAATAATAATTATCTACCTTGGTTCAGTAACTGTGACAAATGTACCAAACTACTGTAAGATTTTAATAGGTAAAGGTTCTGAGACAAATTCCAGTGTGTATGTGTGTGTGTGAGGGGGGGTGCGGGTGAGTGAGTGGAGGTTCCCACATCAACAACAAGCAGCTGGATGTCCTACAATTCAACTCAATTCTGATGCTATTTACCCAGAGAGAGCATCAGATTCCACAGGTTACAAGCTCAGACCCACAGATTTCCCTACCCCCCTTTCAGAAGTCAGTAGTAAGCCCAAGTTACCACCTGTACTTCTTACAGACTG